ACAACAGTATCCTAAGTGCAAAGAAAGATGTAAATCTAAGGTAGAAAGGAGCAATTAGCTTTGTGGGGAGCGAGTTGGCTGTCAAGAAAGGCATGTAGAAGAGCGACATTTGAGCCAGATTTGGATAGAAAATTGGTTGGGAAAGTGAAGATGCAGGCTATTTCTGGCAGGGAAAGCAGCACAGAAGCATTAGAAATGATAGCTCAGAAATACTGTGAGGAAGAAAGCATAATATTTCTTCATATGCTAAGTTTAATTTTGTTTTCCTCTTAAATAAAGTGGCTTTCCAGGTCTTATCTAAGACATGAGATCTTATATTGGAAAAATAACCAAACAAACCTGGCTGTTACGATTACCTAGAGATTATTAGGGTAGAAATCTGAGTTACTTAAGATTTTTAGGAGTTCACCGGTGGCGCAGTGGTTAAGAATGCACTAGCCAATGCAGAGGACACGGGTTCGAGCCCAGGTCCCGAAAGATTCCACATGCCACGGAGCAACTAAGCCCGTGAGCCACAGCTTCTGAGCCTGCGCTCTAGAGCCCGTGAGCCACAACTACAACTACTAAGCCCACGTGCCACAACTACTGAAGCCCGCGCGCCTAGAGCCCGTGCTCCACAGCAAAAGAAGCCACTAAAAGGAGAAGCCTGCGCAAAGCAATAAAAAGGAGCCCCCACTCGCTGCAACTAGAGAAAAGCCCATGCACAGCAACAAAGACCCAATGCAGCCAAAAATTTTTTAAAAAAGAGTTATTCTACATAAAATGTTATAATAGCTTAACTGTCAGTAGCTGCCCAATGTTTGTTTTTTTTTCATATTCTCCTTTGAATTTAGAATGACCATTTTGGAACTGTTGTCAACAATGCATAATAATATATTGGAATGCTACCTAGCATTATCGGGGGAAAGAACAAATGAAAGTTTTAATTGACATAAAATACACATAATTGAACAAACAACCCTGCAAAATGAAACATACTATCTGGGAATTTCTGATAAGAACATTGAAATCTGTTTATAAAAATTCTTTTGATATATTTTTGAAAAATCAGTTGCTTATAAGGAGAAATATTAATCTTTGTGATGTATTACCATACCTCCTATTCTTAAAGGGGAAAAAATGACACTTTAACACTATGCATGTGCAAGGGTATTCAATTAATATCTTTTTATTTAAAAAGCCACTAGTTGGAATCAGGTTTCATTAGACAAGTAATATCCAAACTTTGCTAATCAGAAACTGCCAGGTATAAAAACAGCAGGAATTTTTAAGTCACTTTAATACTGACATTTTTTGACTATCATAGACTTCTAGTAGTAACCATATTAATAATGTTAATTATTTTGTTATATAAGCCAAATATATCTTTAATATAACTTAGTAGAAAAGGAGTTTTTCGGTTTAATAGAATTAGATTGGCTATCGTTGGCTATTAGTTCCACTGGTTCGCAGGTTTGAGGAAGTATATTATCTAATGGCAGTGTCTATAAAAACAGCAAAAAATTATCCCACCATAACAATCATTTGACATTTTATTTTATTTTATTTGGCCGTGCTGTGTGGCTTGCAAGATCTTAGTTCCCCCACCAGGGACTGAACCTCAGCCACGGCAGTGAAAGCACCGAGTCCTAACCACTGGACCACCAGGGAACTCCCATAAAAGATCTTTATTTTAAAGAAGAAGAATATATACGTTAGGTCAAGTTATTTGACCAGATTTCATGCAACCAGTAAAATGGCAGAGTAACAATCTGAATTTGGATTTATCTGAGTCTAGAGCTCAAGCCCTTAACCATACATATTCTGCCTATTCTTCAGTCATGCATGAGAACAATGATTTTATACATGCAAAGAATAAATGAGAAAATGTCTTCACCTACATGAAAGAAAGTTTATGTATAAATTTAAATGGCAGTTATTGGTACCAAACTACCATGTTATGTTCAACTTTGCACGTTTTTGCCTTAAAAATTAATTTCAATTTTAGTATACCACTAAATGTATTAGCATAATAATATGTAAATATGTACTTTAAAGATCCATTTCTGTATTTTCATATAGGAATCGTATATAAGCAGAAAGGAACTTTAGAAATTATCCTGTTATTCATATCATTTTAATTATCATGTTATTCATGTTATTAAAGGAAATCACAACCCAAACAAGTTAAATACCTAATGTGAAGGTATACAGTCCATTAGTGATAGAGATAGGAGACATGCTTCTGGGTAATAAAAGACTACAGAGAAATGATCTTGGTTAGGTACAATTTGATCGAAAGTTTAGAAACATGTCAAACAATTCTATGTACAGTCATATGCCTGGGACTTATTAATACCAAATAAAGTTCAGTGGTGGTTTCAGGGGGAGGAAATACTTTTTATATGTCTGTAACATTTCACATTAAAAAATAATCACTTCAATAATACTGTCTAATTCTAGCCTTACTTGAATAAACAAAACTGCAGTATGGGAGAGCCAGCACGCTTACCTTGTCACGTTTAAGTAATTACTAGTACGAGCACTTGGGAAGACAGCGTCTCCCTACTCTGATTGCCACTTGCTTGAAAAAATCAGATTACGGGGGGTGGGGGGGGGTGATGAATTGGGAAACTGGGATTGACATGTATACACTAAGACGTATAAAATGGATAACTAATAAGAACCTGCTGTATAAAAAAATAAATAAAATTTAAAAATTAAAAAAAAATCAGATTACAAAGTAAGTGGAACACCTTGAAGAAATGGAGCTATTTCCATGACAGCAGGCTCCATGACATCAGGTTCAACAGATCCCTAATCCTTAAGAGTAAAACAGTACAAAAGGGTAGAATTATTAATATGCTTTCTAATGTAAGTTGAGGTTTTATTTAGGATATTAACCAGAGGTTTGATTGATGGTGCAGAAATAAAAGTAAAGATCATTGCTCTGAGGAAATCAGGACTCCAGGTTGGGATACCAGATTTGCGGATCTCCACATTCCAAGCCATCTAATGGTCTTTTCTAGTCAGCTTGTGGAAGCCTACGATGGAGGAAAACACTGTTTATACTAGGATAAATCTGATAATATGTTGATAGGATATTAAACAGCAGTTCACTAAATGTTTGTACTTCTTAATGAAATTAAACCCTCCCATATAAAGTGTTTTCATGGTGTTAAATCCTTTCATTTTCTAAAAAAGTTTTTTTAAGAAAAACTAAATTTTAACTACTGCAGTTGCCTCGTTTGTTAAGGGACTCGTACAATGCTATTTAAATAGTTCCTACCCATCCAACACCGTGAGTGAGAAGACCTGATTCTTGCCCAGGAAGAGTGTCAGTAGCTCTACCTTGTTTGCTGACTCCTTTCCTATACTGTGCCCCTACCTGCACACTTTTCTTAGTGACCTATGAAGGAAAGTGATTATGTGTAAATGCTACATTATGTGGCTCAGAGACATTGTATATCTCTGTTAATTTTCCCCAATTAAGTGAACAAAACCAACAGGTCTAGCCCCAGAGTCATTACCCTGACTTCCTGCTGTGTTCCTTGGAGGCCCTTTCTCTGCTTCAGATTGAGTTAAACTTCATCCTGTTGGAACAAGCACTTCCTAAAATATCCCAAGAAACTTACTATCGTGCATAATAACAACTGGGAAGTTATCTTGCTTACTATATTAGAATAATTTGTTTTAGGTAATTAATACTGTATACTTCAGTTGTCAATTAGCTATCTTTTTTCTGTTCATTTATTGATTGAATAAACATTCATTCAGAACCGAGTGTGTATTAGGCACTGTGCCAAGAGGTAAGGCTATGGAAATGCATCCGAGGAAGCATCTAATGGGGGAGACAGGCAGGTAAGTACTTACAATACAGTACAGTTGTTGAATTTGAGAATAGAGGGACACCAAGCTTGGCATGAGTGAGTCAGGAAAGATCCGAGGAAGTACAGCAATCGTCATATTTGCCAAATATTAATTCTTACCCTTTTAAGGATCTGGACTTTAAGACTCTGAGGAAAGCTTAGATTCTTTCCTCTAAAAAAAAAAAAAAAAAGCCAAAATTTTGCATATTATTTCATGTATTCACCTTGACACCCCATATATCTCAGGGTAAGCACTCCTGGTCTACAGACTTAATATTTTCAGTCCAAATTAACTCTGTAGCATAAATAGCCTACCCTTTTCCCTATTCTAAACCTGCTTTTTTCAGGTCTTTAAGTTAAATACTTTGTAATAACATTCTAGAATCTCACCACATCTTTATGTCTTTCATGTTATAGACTTTAGTTACCACCTCAAGCGTCGAAGCGTTTTTCTTTGCTAGCCCATATGTCATAGTTGTGATTAATTCGTATTTTGTAAAATTTTAGTTGATAATTTTTGTGTCACCTTTAAAAAGAAAGCACTTTGGGGACTTCCCTGGTGGTCCAGTGGTAAGACCCCGTGCTCCCAGCGCAGGGGGCCAGGGTTCAATCCCTGGTCAGGGAACTAGATCCCATATGCGTGACGCAACTAGGAGTTCGCATGCTGCAACTAATAAGTCCACATGCCGCAACTAAAGATCCTACATGCCGCAACTAAATATGTGGCAACTAAACATGCCGCAACAAAGATCCCCAGTGCCGCAACTAAGACCGCGTCACAGCCTAAATAAATAAATTTTTAAAAAAGAAAGCACTTTGGGTTTAAATTATCTTCCACCAATAACATAATTTTACTTTTGCCTTATTTCCAATTTTTTTCTGAGGTTTTTAGGTGCAAATTTTACCTTTGACTCGAAGATTCATTTATGACAAATTATGCTTATGTAAATGTACACTTGAGGTCAGTTATTAACAGTTATTAACTTAATCCTCTTTAAACCTTTAAAATAAGTTACATACAGCACGTGAACGTTTACCGCGTGCGGCCACTGGTGCTGAGAAGCGCCTGAGAGTTCAGGAATGACCGAGGCTCAGAAACTTCCGTCCTCCGAGGGGTGGCAGCCCAGGGCCCGGCAGGTGCGGTGGGGCTGGGAGGAGGCGGGGGACCTGGGCTCCGGGCTCGGGACTCAGAAGAGGAGCCGAGAATTCCCCCCACTTCCCCACGCCTCGGAGGTCTCCCACTCAGTACCTTATACCGATGTTCTGACCGGTTTGGTGTTTGTCATTAAATGAAGAGGAATTCGGGAAAGGAGGAACAGAGAGGGTCCCGGAGTTTCTTCAAGAACCGGCCGAGAGCCGTGGCTCCCGCGGGGTTACGCGAGAGCCTGAACGGAGTGAACGCGGACGCCGGGGCAGAGGCGCCGAGGGCAGTGCGGCTTTTGCGCTCGCCAAGCCGCGGGGTTTAAATCTCCCGCCTTCCGCAGCCGGAGCCCGACACCTCCACGCTCTGGTGCGGAGGGGCACCGGCTGCGGGTGCGGCTCGGCAGCGGCGCAGGGCTCGCGAGCGGCGGCAGCGGTAACGGGCGCCGGGACCGACCTCCGAGCTGCCGAACGCGACCCGAGGCGGCGGAGGACCGGCGCGTCGCGGCTCCGGCGTCGAGGTGAGTGTCTGCGGCCTCCTCTGGCCCCCTCTCTCCGGGCGGAGGAAGGGCCGCGCCCTCCCCGGCGGAGGCTGGGAGGCCAAACCCTTGGTTCCCATGGCGACGCCCCAAGGTGGAGGGGTGGCGGGAGGGGACCGCCACGCGCGCACGCGGTCTCTCGGGGCTTCTCGCCGGCCTTCACGGTTCCCTTGGGGACCTCGGCCCCTGCGGCCTCCGCTCCCGGACGAGGTCCTGTCCGAGCTCCTCCGGGCTTACCCTGGGCAGATCGGACCAAGAGTAGTTTTAGGCTTGGCAGCGTCCCCTCGGGCCGAAGGGAGCTTCCACCCACGCTCGCCCCGGGTAGCGAGCGAACGAGCGCAGGGGCCTGAGGCTTGTTTGGGTGATTTCTCTCGAAGGTGCGGATCGCTTCCATTAGAAGCAGATGCTCACGGCCTTTAGGTGCTTTCCTGCTGACCTCCTTTTTATGTTGTGCTTATTTTCATGTTATTATTTTGTAGTGGGAATGTCTTCCTTACAAACTAAATGGCTAGTAATGGGTAAAAACAAAACACAAGTAAATGTGCGGTTTAAGACAAAGTGCAGAAGGCGCGAGCCCCCGAGGGGTTCCGCGCACAAATCTCGCTGCCTGAGGCCTTTATCCCAGCGCCACGCACCGGTCCGGCTCGTGGAAACTGGATCATCTGGTCAGATGCCCAAATGATGTCAGCTGTCAGATACCTGATGCTCTGAGAAAGATGGAGAGTGGAAAAAAAATCCATCCTGGCAACTAATCCGCGATGCTGTGGATTTGCCAGTAGAGGGTGTGGGATTATTTTTCATGTAATAGATGATTTTGATGCACAGAGCATGAAAGCAATCATAAACTCTGGGTCACTGTGAAATAGCTTATTGGGAAGATAACGTTTATCCATCGTTTGGGGTTTTTTCTAAGTATTTATGTATTGATTTATTTGGTCACGACTCAGGCAACGTACTGTAAGGTGATATTACTTTAATCATCTTCACATCAATATTTATGGAGTAGCCACAGGTGCCCATCCTTTAGTAGGAGTTAATTATACATTTATTGGCCAAATAAACATCCAATAGTATGTATATATTTTTATATGACCAGCCTTTTTAGTTGTTTTATATTCGTTGTGTATGCCTAATATACTCAGTATTCTTTGAAATTTCTGTGTTTATTTAATAGTGCAAAATGATTGTACATCTTGACATTAAAACAGTTATGTGCAAGACATTGTTCTAATTACCAGTAATTAACGTTAGAGTTAGGTGGTTGCTCAGAGATCAGCCAGTCCAAAGTGCAAAAACTACAAACATTAAGACTGGTGGAAAAACTAGGAAGCCATATTTTTATTAGAAATATTTATTATAAAAATAAAATTTATACCAATGACTGAACTAGGACAAAATATCAAAATATTAAATATCAGATATTAAACAGTATTGTTTTGTTCTACTGTGCTGTCAAACTTTATTTCATTGTGTGGTACATACTATATTAAAATTTTTCCCCTTTCCTTTATAGTTTACCTTTCTCAGTACTCACTGTGCCTCCTTTAAATTTTTATTATTTAACAACAACAGGTGGGGTGTGTGAAGGACTTTTCAGTATGTCTGTGACTGGAAAGATTTCCTCATGTGAACTGGCTTTTGTTATTTAATAACATCCTTATTCCCCTTTTCCCTTGTTTGTTTTTCATTCATCTGTTAGGTTTCTTCCTTTTTTCTGAAGTCAGACTTTTCAAACTTCTTGCATCCAATATTCACCTTCTATGTAATTATTATTATTATTATTTTCCTATTGTAGACTCATTTGCAGATAACACTTTAGGTTTTAAAAGAATTTTTTTTGTGTGGATTTAGTTTAGATGAAAAAAAAAACCAAAGCCCCAAAACTGAATTACCACAATAAATACAGTTACAACAGCCAACATTAACAACTGTTCACATTGTGTCATATTTCTTTCAAATATTTTTTAAATAAAGAAATAAAACATTTCCAATAAAGCTAAAGTTGTTTTTGTATCATACCCATTCTCTTCCTGCCCACTATATATTGCTCATTTATATTATTCTTTTTTTCTTAATCTTGCTAGAAGCATGTAAATTTTAGTAATTTTTTCAAATGAACCAACTGATTTTCTCTATTTGCTTGTTTTCTATTTCACTGGTTTCTACTCTTATTTTTATTATTTTGTTTCTTCTACTTTGGGTTTACTGTGCTCTTCTTTTTCTAACTTCTTAAAGTGGAAGTATAAATAATTGATTTTGTACCTTTTTTACTTTCATATATTGATAGGTATTTAAAGCTATAAGTTTTCTTCTAAGCATGCTTTAGCTGCATCCCACAAATTTGGGTGTTTTCATTATCATTCAGCTTAAAATATTTTAAAATTTCTCTGTCACCTGTTATTTATTTAGATGTGTTACTTTACTTCCAAATATCTGGGAATTTTTTTTAAATAGATCACTGCTATTGATTTCTAAATTAGCATTGTTGGTGTCGGAGGACGTACTCTGCACTATTTCAAAACCTTTAAATTTATTGAGATTTTTTGTTTGTTTGTTTTCTGCCTATCCTAAGGTCTGTCTTGGTGAATGTTCCAGTTACCCTTGGGGAAAAAATTTGTATTCGGCTGGTGGTGGTGGTGGAGTGGTCTATAAGTGTTAGTTAAGTCAAGTTGGTTGAAAGTGTTGTTCAGATCTTTTAAATCTCCACATGTTTTATGTCTCCTTATTCAGTCAGTTACTCTGGGGGGAGTGTTAAGTCTCTAATTATGATTGTAGATTTGTCTTTTTCTCCCTTTAGTTCTGTCAATTTTTTTCTCATATTTCGTGGCTCTGTTATTAATTACATACATATTTAAGATTGCTATGTCTTTTTGATAAATTGACCCTTTTATTATTATGAAATGGTCATCTTACCTCTGAAAATACTTTTTACCTGGAAGCCTGTTTTGTCTGACATTAATATAAGCTTAATGTTTGTCTCATATCTTTTTTATCCTTTTCCTTTTAACTCATCTGTATTTATGTTTAATGTGTGTCTCTTATAAACTACATATAGTTGGGTTGTACTACTTGTTATCTAGTCTTACAGTCTGCCTTTTAACAGTATTTATATCATCCACTTATGTTTTTGTAATTGTTTTCTGTGTTTGGATTAAGCACAAAATATTGGTGTTCTTTTTCTGTTTTCCTACTTACTCTTTGGTCCTCTTTCCTGCCTTCTTTCTAGTAAATTGAGTTTTTTTTTAATATATTCTACTTTTTCTCCTCTCTTGACTTTTTAGTTTTGCCTCTTTGTGTTATTTTTTTTTATTGATTGTGCTAGAGATCACAATATGCATCTTGAATTTATAAAGCCTATTTTCAAATATATTCTAGTACTTCATGAACAATGTAAGAGTATTACAACTTAGACTTCCATTTATCATCTTTTTATCTTTTCTTCTGTTATACATTTTACTTCTACATATGCTTTATATTTTTAAAGAATCAGTACTCTTTTAGTGAAATTTAAAGATACACATGTATATTTTTGAAACTTTCTTTGTGTTTATCAGTATATATTTACCCTTTTTGATTTCTCTCTTGCTTCCTATAGAAATGAGTTTCTATATATTATCATTTTCTTTCACCCTAAAGAATATTTAGGATTTTTAGTAGTGTAGGTCTGTGTGGGACAAAGTCTTTCAGTTTTTATCTGTCTGAAATTTTATTTTCCTTTCATTTTTGAAGGATATTTTTATTGGGTATAGAATTCTTGGCCAACTTTTTCCAGGACTTAAAGATGTAGTTCACTTGTCTTTTGTCCTCGAAAAAGTTGGTTAATTTTTTTTTTTTGTCAAGCAGTTTCCTTCTCTTCCTACTGTTCTGCCAAAGATGAAAGGAGTCATGAGTCCTAGGCAGGACTATTCACTTTCTGGATTTAAGTTCATTAGCTTTTTTTTTTTTGGCATCCTCAGCTCTCTGATTGGCTTTAAGAAAACACATAATTTTGTAGGTTATCTATCAATAGTTTATTCTCATTGTTAGGATGGGAGTTCTCTTAACTTTCTGAAGTAGAAGTGGAATACCAGTACGATACTGATTTAATTAATATTACTTAAAAATCCCTTTATTACTCTTATTTTCCAGATTTTTGAAAATTGGTGAGTTGTAGTGAACAAGCACTTTCCTACATGACTGGTACTGGGCATAAAAATTGGTATAATCTCTATGGAGGACAATTTAGCAAAATGAGAACAATTTAAAATGCATAAACCCTTTGATTCAGCCCTTATGCTTCCAGGAATTTATTTTATAGGTATACTTGCATGTATTTAAATATATATATATATATATATATATATTTACTAATTTTAGCATGGTTTGAAATAATAAAATTCTGGAAGCAATCTAAATATCCATCAATAATAGACCAGTCAAGTAGATTATTGTACATCCATACACATGGAATGTTATATATCCATTAAAATTGTATTTCAGCTATGTAGAAAATTCCATGTTATATTCTTTTTCCTTTAGTACTGTACAGTCTCACTTTTATCCATTCTCTAATGTGGCTGAAGAGATGCCTGAGGCCAGGATAAACTATTTAATTTGTAGGTGGCCCTCTTTTTTTCTGTCTAGATGCTAGTAGCATTCTTTCTTTACCCTTAAAATTCAGCAACATTCCATAGCATGTCTTTTTTTTTTTTTTGCGGTATGTGAGCCTCTCACTGTTGTGGCCTCTCCTGCTGCGGAGAACAGGCTCCGGACACGCAGGCTCAACGGCCATGGCCCACGGGCCCAGCCGCTCCGCCGCATGTGGGATCCTCCCGGACCGGGGTACGAACCCGTGTCCCCTGCCTCGGCAGGCGGACCCCCAACCACTGTGCCACCAGGGAAGCCCCCCACAGCATGTCTTATTCTTGATCATTCTCTATTAATTTTTCTTGGAACACGGTGAACCCTTTCAATTTTCAACTTTATATTCTTGAATATTTTGG